GTGGCTCAGTCGGTTGAGCATCTGCCTTTGGCTCAGGTCACGATCCCAGGGTCCTGGGATTGAGCCCTACATTGGGCTCCCTGCTCAGCAGGAGCCTGCTTCTCCCTCTCCTCCCAGCTTGTGCACTCTCTCGCTATCTGTCACTATCTGTTTGTCTCTCTCTCAAATAAATAAATAGAATCTTAAAAAAAAAAAAAAAGAACCAAACTTTCCAAAGCGTATGGCACCCTTGGGAATTTACTGCCAAAAGTGGGGCTGACTTTTACCAAATTTTATATATCTGAGTTAACTGACTATTAGTTGATAGGAAATACTGGAAGCAAAAAAATAGTCATTCTTTCGTTTGTACCTCTCTCAAATTCTGTCTCGCATTAGATAGGAGTAAGATGGTTGTCAAAATGTATAAGATATATAATTTTAATGATTTGTTAGGAATAAAAATTATAATCTATATCAGCCTTATATCCATGTGGCATATGTATGTTCATATATATACCAAAATAAGTACTATTGTAAAATATTAGAGATTAGTTTTCACTTAATGTGAAATGACACATCTGTTATGTAGAGGTTTTAAATGTAGAAAATGTGTCCATTAAAAAGCAAAACACAAATTTTGATAATTATTTAATAGTACACAAAAATCATTTATAATCTCATTAGTTGTAATATAATTGCTTTTGTATTAAAACGTAAATTAAAAATTTACCATATTTTGAAATATTAACCTTAATGCATTAAGTATTGTTAAAATCTCAAAACATGTGTTAAATAATGACTGTTAATTTATGTTCCCAATGGTTTCAATACATAGTGGCTTAAAGCATAATTTGAATCATGGTGTAAACTGAAGTAGTCTTAATATCTAAGCACAAAGAATCAAAAGAAAATATGGAAAATTTCAAATGGAGAGAAAATTGGTGAAAATATATAGGTTAGGCCATCATCAGTCACAAAACAGCACCTGGAACACTGAAAACTCCCTAAATCTGCCCAAATCTAGCATATATTTTTATTTTTTATTTTCCTTTATTTTATTTTAAATAGCATATATTTTTTTAGAATATTGGTATAAGATGTGCATGATATTCTGCTGAGTTCTAATATTTTCTTCTTCTCCCTCTCTCCTTCCTCCCCATCTGCTTACTGCCCTGTATCCTTGGGAAAAAATAATTCAAGGGGGAAAAAGTCATTAGGTTCTTTCTCTCACCAGAACGCTTACTTCATAAATAAAGTCAGTATTTTATTTTTTTAAAAGACTTTATTATTTACTTATTTATTTGAGAGAGAGAGAGAGAGAGAGAGAACGGGAGGAGGAGCAGAGGGAAAGGGGCAAGTAGACTCTGCCCTGGAGACGGGAGCCTGAGTCTCCATCCCCTCCATGCCGCCACCTAGGAGACGACTTGAGCAGAAATAAAGAGTGGGACGCTTAACGACTGAGCTACAGAGGCGCCTGTCAGTAATTTAAATATAGATAAATTATGTCTGTCAGTCTGCGCATTACAGGGAAGGATGGATGGTGGAAAAATAGAATGAAGGAAGGGGGAAAGGCAAAAAGAAGGATAGAAATATACGAGATACACTGAGAAGGAAAGGAAGTGGTGAGGAACAGTGCATAATACAGGGAAAGGAAGGAGAGGAAATGAGAAATGTAGAGAAAGAGTGGTTCAATAAATGTTACGGGGATAACGCCGGGAGTTCACTGCGGGCTTCAGAAATTAGGAGTTGTGCGATCTAACCTGCACAGTTTCCTCCGCCGTTCTTCATCACGCCCTACTGACTGGAATTTTGCAAGAAATTATGCACCAGGATTGCGGATCACAGAACACTGTGGAACTGGTTTGACAGACGAAAAACAAAAAACAAAAAACAAAACAAAACAAAAAAGCAATTGGGACGGAGAGAAGTTTTCGGACCCGTACAAGGCCCAGCAGTGCTTAGGTACGCTTCAAGTATTGGTACCGTTTGCGACTTACAATAGCGTTCTCCCGCGGCGGAGGAAAAAGGAAAATGGAAGAACAAAACGAAACAAAACACCAGGGCCTCTCTTCAATTATTAAAAATAGCTGTGGCGTCTTTACATATCTTCCAGGTAAGACTAAGATCCTAAAGTGATTCTGGTTTCACTTCATATCCTGAATTGTTAAAGTCTCACTTACGCTGCCAGGACACCAGTCCTTTGTTTCTCTTTTGATCCTCCCGTCTCTCTTTTGAAGTCAACACGGCAAAGAGAGAACCGAAACGTCCATGTAATCAAAATAGCTGTGGCTGTTTTTAAAAATAATTGCTTCCCAGGGATATATGATTCAGTAATTATCTGCCTTAAGTTTTGGATTAGATATTTGCTTCTTGGGTATAGTGGATATTTGATATTTAAGGAGCATGGATATGGCTATTGATAAACAAAATGAGGTCTGATAGGATCACTTAAGGGAACGTGGTCTTGACTCCGCAGCTGCGCACCGGATTGGCTCTGCGCGGCAGCGACCGCGGTGCCTGGGGATATTCCTTCTGTTTTACTCATCCATCTTCAGGGCTGAAGGATGTAGAGTCAACACCAAAAATATCAGTAAATCAAAAACTAGAAACAAATCTGTGTTTATTCTCTGGGTTCTAGATTGCTGAGTTTCTAAGTTAAATCTACCAGAATGATACTCTAAGCCACGCTCGTTCTTGGTCTCCTCTTTGTTTCCTTCTAACGCTCATATTTCATCTTGCCACTTGTCAGACATACAATACCTCTTCCCGTCATTCTTGCTGTTTCCTATGTTATTGATGGCAAATTAATGGTAGTCGGCGCTTTTAAGTCTCTCCCTTATAAAATAGGTAAAATGATTCTGCCCGAGGTCTTTTTGGTGACGGCCAAATGAGCAATTATGTATATTCTTTTGGCCAGTGCCTGACACGTGGTAGGTATTATTGTGCCTCCTTAGTATGCATTACAAATGTACTTTTATATAATTTATAAACAAAAAAGAGCCTGTAGGCTATCACTGTTTCTTCTACCCTGAGAGAATTAAAAGAGCCTAGGTTCTAACATAACATAATAAAAAAATAATAAATAAGTAAATAAATAAAAGAGCGCAGGTTCCTTCATCAATCAGGTGGAAGAGCTGTGTACAATAATATCAGATTATATAGGGAGATTTACAGTTTGCAATGTAACTCCACATTGTTCCTATGCAGAGCTGACCTTTGAATCCAGTGTCTCCAGCCTCATTCACCATTGCTATCCACCCTGAGCCCCTCTGTTGCTGTCAAATGGCAAGATTCCATATCCCACAAAGCACATCATAGACACTGGGTCTTTGATGCCCCCTGTTAAGCAGTTGCTTGGACTTGAAAGACTCCGCACCATCTACCTTCTGATGAGTTGTCTCTGTTTTAAATGGATCTGCTTGGGTGGAATCCTACACAAAAAAAAACTGGTAATTGCTGTGACCTGCGGAAAGTTTATAGAGTCTTCTTTTTATTCTTTGCACAATAATTTCACTTGTAACTGTCAAGAGATAAACTGAGGCACACTGAAATTTTCAAGAGTCTATTTGAGCAAAGGTGGATTGGAATTGGGCAGTGCCAAACCAAAAGCAGTTAAGAGGATTCGGCGGACAAAAGCTAGGGAAAAGGCTGTATGCAGAAGAGGAGGAAGCAAAGCAAGGAACGTTATCTGATTGGCTATAACTTAAGTGGTTGCCTGATTTGGGAAAGCCTAATTTGCCATTTGAACTTGGTTGTTCTTAAATTTAGTTCTTTTTCGGATATCAGTGCATTTACAGAAATTAACTCTGGCGTGGGTTTGGTTTGCTTATATAGGCTGCCAAAGCATTAGAGCCACTTCGGTGTAATGGCCTTCTTGTTTACCTACTTTAACATATTATTTTGTTTTGTGAATTATCCTTTCTTTCTCTCTTCTCCCCAAGTAAGTGGCAAACTGGAGAGAACATGTCATGTACAATGCAGGTCAAGCAATTTATCCACAGGCAGAATTCACTGGCCATTGTTTTACTAATTCTCTTAAATATAGAGTAATGGAGATACAGAATTTTAGGGTGAGAGGGGCACTGAAAGCCTAAATCTACTCTGTTGATCCAGTGATTAACTCTCCTTCTACGAACGCATGCCAAGTAGTAGTCTGGCCTGCGTTATGCTATTCCAGAAGCAACCAACACTCCAAACAACCCCACTCCACTTGGTCACCAAGAGTTGACCAATACGTCTTGTGCAATCATCAGGGATAAAATGGTATCAGGCTATTTTATTCATCCCTGAAAAATGTCTCCCATAGCTCTCAATTTAAAAATTCATGATGGCACAAAAAAGATGAAACCTCATAACGCTAAGAAACTGAAGCCAGCAATTTATTAAAATCTGAGAGGAATTTTCTTTAGCTACAGAATTAATTAGTTCCCCTTCCACTTTTTTAAAAGCTTGTTTGAGCTGATTTGCTGAACAACATCCATGTTCCATGGACATTTTACCGTCTAACATAAAACCGTGGAGCTGAACAGGTACCGTGAAAGGAAAGGCTTCTCCTCACTGTTTGACCCTGTCTTGCACACATAGGATATACACAAATTGCAAAACACTGTACTTGCTCAGGGGTGTTCAGACACGGCTGGATTTGGTACTTCCTTTTCTACATTCAAAGATCACAACTCTTAATAGATACTATGTGGGAGGTTCTGAAGGCAGAGAGACACGCACAGAGTAGGGAGGAAAATGAAGACTGGACACTGTTCTTTGTCATTCTGCAGGGGCTGTTCCCTCTGCATGAAGCCTCAGGGTGGCAAACAGGGTAGAATCTTGCGTGTGTGCTGTGGCTTCGGTGCCGTCTGTGGCGTCATTGGTCTCACTCATGTCTTCCACTCTTTTCTCAAGTCCGGAATCTGAATCTTGAATTTTCTGAGGAGAGCATCTGGGCTTCAGAGTTCTTACCAGGTCTCTTTGCAAGGAAATAGACTGACAGCTGCAATCAACGGCAGTCCTGTTACATCTTCATCATGTTTCCCTTGACCAGAAATGCACTAAATAGGTTCAAGATTCAAAGCATTCAACAAATTAGGTCACGACAGAGCCTCGAAAATCATTCACAAGTTTTCCATGACAAATACGGTAACACCACACTAGCCAGTGGGACCGCTTTCTGTGTTGTTCCATGGGTGTTTATAGCCACACAGATTGGAATAGAATGGAACTTAGCTCCTGTCGGCAGAATCGCTCCAAAAGAGTGGAATGATGAGTAGCCATCAAAGGTACTGTAATACAAAATTGTTTCAAAATCAACTTGTCATTTAAGCCCTCTGCTGCTCATTAAAATATAGCATAGTTGAAGAAATAAAATACATTTGAAACCTTCAAAAAAAAAAGTTAGTACGGAGCTGCTGTTTGTCTTTCTGAGAGCTCGGGAGACTTTGGGAGGATTAATCAACACAGAGAAGAGCAGAGTCAGATAATGGAGAGATGGATTACCTGCCTGAAGCCTGATCTGGCCGGGACTTCTCAATTCCTTGAATCAATCACTGCCCTTTTGTGGATGACAAACAAAATACTCCTGATTGATACATCATCTCTCTAGGCTCAGCTTAAGCATTGCTTCCTCAGGTGAGCCTTCTGTGACACAACTGCAGCCATAACCACCTCCTTCCTCTGCCTTACCTTGGCTGCTCTGGTTTATCTCAGTGTGGGATTTGATGTTTGTGTATGTGATGATGACTAACCCGAGTCTTTCCTCTAATAATGATGCTGGTGATGCTGGTGATGGTGATGCTGTCCATATTGAGATTTAACCATGTGTCGGGCATGGCTGCAATCATAGTGAACATGAATTCTCATACTTGAAAACTGAGGAGCAGAGGTGTAGATATTCCTACCTCGGACCAACAGATAAATGCTCATGGATAGTGGAAATTGCACTGGGGGATGGGGAAACCAATCACTAATTCATCAATTCGCCCATAACATGAAATCTGAGAATAGGACTAGTAATCTACAAGCATTGAAGTGGGTGTTAGGAGCAAGTAAGAGAAATCTGTGAGTTTTATATATGTAGATTCATCCTGAATCAAGAGTAAATTTAAAAAAATACAAATCAATAACATGGGGCCTTTGGGGGAAAAAGTCTTTGGCATAAGAAAAGTAAGAGTGTTGTATGAAAGACTCAGAGGGAATCACACAAATAGCTTAGTACAGGAAATAAAAAAATGGACTTCTTATTTTCAATAAGAGACAAAATCATGGCCTGCATAGAAAAATAACAACAAAACATCATAAGGAGAGAACAGAATAAGGTTGTAAAAGTTAGGTTGACATACAGAATGAAATAAAAAAGCAGATGCTTGACATGCCAAAAAATATATAGTAATAAAATCAAAATTAAAAAAAATCACGGAAACCAAAAAGAAAAATCACCAGAATTAAAATCTGCATTGGAAACACAAAATAATAGAAATAGTTCTGGAAAACTGGCTTAGCTACATAAAGGACCGATGTGAAAGTCTCTGCCAGGAGGAAGAGAGAGAGCATGAAGGCACTTGGGGCAGGCACTCCTGGTGGTTGGCCAACCCCACCCACACCCCCTTTCCCAGCACCTACCAGCTGACGGTGACATGTGACTACATCTGGCCAACAGGCAAAGAGATAGTCCTGGACTATATCCATTCCAAATAAGACAGAACCATCACTGGGAGAACGCCTCCTTTGCTTTCTGTTTCTGCCTCCCTGTTTCCTCTTCAGAATGCAGGTATGACTGTAATTGTAGCGACCACGTTAAAACTAAGAGGCAACAAGCCCACATGCCAAGGCTGGAGAAACAAAGACATAGAATGAGCCTAATGCACTGACTGACCATTGTACTAGCCATGTCCCACCGAACTCTGGCCCTTTTGTTATATAAAACAAACCACTCTGCTTGCTCTGTCCACAGTTTGCTGTGTCTTCTGTGATTTACACCTGAACATATTCCTAACCCATAAAGACTAAAAAATTACAACGGTGAATATAGAAAACAGGAGGGTGAATTTAGTAATACCAGAAGTTTTCCAATTAAAAACCAGAGAAAATGAAATAAAAGTAACAAAACAAAATGTAAATAGAAGATTTTTGGCCTGACAAAAGATATTTGAGCCAGCTGGTCTAAACATACCATCATCTATCAGGCCAAATCAATAAAGTCTGACTCACTTTAAGGCCTCGATGAGGAAGGAACTTCTTTTTAGTTAAAAGGATGTATTTAAAAAAGCTCTACATGAATCAAGTTAGAAAAGCAGATCATCTAAAAAAATAAACATTAGGAACAATCTCTAGCTTTTCATCTCTACAGAACCAAATTCCACCAAAAAAAAAAAAGTAGCCATATTAAGAGTCCTGATTCAAATTCAAAACCAAGGCAAAATTTTGTGTGTGAAGACTACAGAAAGATGTTCACATATGTGAGGGCTTATGAAAAAAGAAGCCACCCTTTATCATTATTAAAGGGAAAATAATATTTTTTTAGTTTTTAAAAATTTAAATTCAATTTAGTTAACATATAGTGTATTATTAGTTTCAGGGTAGAATTCAGTGATTCATCAGTTGCATATAACACCCAGTGCTCATTACATCACGTGCCCTCCTTAATGCCCATCTCCCAGTTATCGAATCACCCCACCCACCTCCCCTCCAACAACCCTCAGTTTGTTCCTTATAGTTAAGAGTCTCTTATGGTTTGCCTCCTTCTCTGTTTTTATCTTATTTTATTTTTCCTTAAAGGGGAAAAATTTTTTGCAAGATATATTACATACCAGATGAAGAGAACTAAAATGAAAAGTAAAAAAAAAAAAAAAGAGAAAAAAGAAATTGGGAAACTAGAATTAAACTCCAAATAAATAAATATGTAGAGTAAAGCTGGAAAGTTGTGAGAACACATCTGATTTAAAATGAACAACCTCAGTAATTTTGAGAATTACTGTTCCAAATGCAGTTTCTTGAGCAGAACCCTACATCCCTTGAGAGTTAGGGGTTGGCCATGTACCTGTCATTCAGATTGTTTGTCCTCCATCTGGGGAGAGGGACAAAGGTTTATGCCCCGGTGCTGCTGTAGTTCTCTCTGGCTAACACTGGCTCACCATCGAGTTTCCCAATATGGTGGCATCAAAATACTAGCTTTTTCTTGAAGCTCAGGCATGGGTGTCTAGGGTGGCGCTCATCTCTTTTTTTTCCATATCTTGATGCTTTGACACTTGGGGCTTTGCTGACCCTGGAGGGGTCAGCCAATTCCTTGAGTTAACAACTTGTCCAGAAACACACCTTTCAAATACAAAACTAACCACTCCAGAGCCCATAATCCCACCCCTCCTTTATTCTGCTTTTACACTCCTGCCCTAATTGCTCCAAGACCAGGTACCAGTCAACTAAGGACAACTCCTATGCCTCACAGACCGCTGAAATTATTCAAACTAGTCCATTGTAAACCCACTTAGCCTCCTTTACGTGTTCTTTCCCATGGTAACTGCATCAGAGGCTCTCGCTCACTCACTCTGCCTCTGACTGACCCTGGTGCTACCCTGTGTGTCCCCGTGTATGACACGCTTCCTGTTTCTAGGGACCTGTGAGTCTAAGACACTTCTTTCTTTGTAACAGTCATTTCTGCGTCTGCGTGTCTTACCATACCCAAACCAAATCCCGGTACCCTTAAAACTCACAGGGAGCTCCTCATAGAACTCCCTGATGTGAATGGCGCACTCTTTGGCTGACCTTTAGAATCCACTTCTCAACCTCTTACTGCTGGCATCTGCTAATCTCTCCTGGCCTTCCTTTTGGGCAGGGTCCAATCACGAGGGCTTGAGCCAATGTGACAGACACACTCCACCAAGCCAACTGGCACAAGTGCAGGATTCTCCCCATTGCAGCCCTTGCTTTCACGCGTAGCTTCCGGCAATCTCAGGCCTTGTGTGGGAACTCACCTGGTGGAACACAAACACCAGTCTCTGTCCTCCAGGGACACATGGTGGCAACTAGAGGGCCCAACCAGGCACAGATTCCCATGTTGCCTTATGCAAATCTTCCTTAGGCAGTTCTCCTCACGCTTTCTCCTTTGGCTAGGATAAAAGGGAAATGCTACAGCTGTTAGGTCCATAATGCTCAAACTCAAGGGCTCTTTTCATTCCCTCTGGAAATGGAGGTGGGTGATGGGAATGATGGGTACTGAGTTCCGATAACTTTTTAATAAATACATAATGAGGGTGCCTGCTACTTCTACTTAGAATATGGAAGCACTTCTGCCTGATTTCCTCAGCTTTGGGGGCCTAAGCTAAAATGCCAATGCATCAGGAAAAACCTCTCTGTGTATCTTGCATTCCAGCACTAGAAGAAGAATATCCATTGTGGGAAATTTAATATAGTGAGCTTTAGAGCTACTGAAATCTTAAGCAAGTAGTTTCTGCTTTAATCAGTTCCCTAGTACCAGTGAAATTTGAGGGAATTTCATTTAAAGGTCCCAGGGCATTTTATTCTAAAGTGGGAGAATATAGCAATACCAAATAATTTACTTCTCTATGATCACATTAAAATGCACTGCACAATTCTTTAATTACCATCTCCATCTAATTCTCTAAGAAGTTTGCCCTAATTGCATTGTTGCTATGCCTGGATGCAAATAAGATGTTGGTTGTTTCCCTTGTAGCAAACGACTGCTACCAATACGTACCGGTCTATTCTCTTGTCAGAAAGGCCAGTATGGTTCCACGTAACCACTGAATGTTGTTGCCTTATCACAAATGACAATAGCTAAACCCAGAAAACAAAGAGCACGTTGCTTCCCACCAAGCCCACCCCCACCACACACATACACCCACACATAGCAAAGAAATGTCCACAAAGTTAAAAGGTTATATTTAAATTTGAAATGAAAAGCAGAAAATTCCCTGAAGACTGGCAAGATGGAGGTGCGAATTGGACGTTTGTGGAGTGGCACTAGCCAGAAGGTATGTGAAACAGACAGCCTCCGGTCACTATGCTTTGCTTTCACAAAAAGATTTTAAGGTTGGTTCACAAACACAGGTGTGAGAAGGAAGAGACCAAGGAGAAGAGGGATAGGGTGGTATATAGGCAAGTGGCAACGACAGATAGCCTTGTTGTTCTTTTAGAGATGGGAAATAGATGCCTTGGTATGGGGGTGGGGGTCATCTGCCTCACTCCTCTTAGCTGTTCCTGTGATTCCTGGAAGGCACACTGTAGTTTGAATAGGTGTAGGCAGATGCTGCGGGAA